TACTATACATTTTTTAATTTCTCATACAAGCCAAAGAAAGTTCCTGGGAGTCATGGCAGACTCATTGTAACTCAGCTTCACGTACCAAGAAAGATAATTAAGTTCAAGTCCATTGGGAAGAAACACAGGGCTTGAGCTGCAGTAATGCAACAGTGACATCAGCTCTGGCTCTGTCCAACTATAGAGCTAACCTTTCCAGTTATTGTTTTGTATGTACACCACCTACCCACAATAAGCTTCTGTCACTGGACTACATTGGCTCCACATGAAGAAACTGTTCAATCAAAAGATAAGTTCTCTTAACTTTAAAAAGGCCCTAAAACTAATGGGCCAGGCAATTTCAGAGTGTAATTTAGCAGTTCTGTTCTTAAACTCACCTCGAACTTCGGGAGAGAATCGAGCTGAATGGCGAGACACAAAAAGTTTCAGTTCTTGATCCAAGTTGCATTCGACCAAGTTTGTGTCCCATGATCGGATTCCTAAAACACAAAATACAAAACACATGTAGCTTGACACATGAGTAATAGAAGTTTTAACTGAGTACTTTTTTATTTGTATTCAAGCTATTTGCATATTTCTAAATTCCAAGCCCAGCCTCATCTTCCTCCAAGGAACAAAGCTATTTTTTAAAATGCACTCAGAAGGATTCTTGACAGGGATCTGAAAAAAAACATCTGCCTTTCCAAAGGGTGATCATTCTTTAAGGCCCCAGCTTTCAAACTGCAGTAGTAGCCATTTCACAGTAAGTTACCAAAGCCCCTGACATGACTTTAAAATTCCAACATACAGATTTACAAAAACAGAAGAGTGAATCACCCAGAGGACATTCCAGTCATGTTGCCCTTTTGAAAAGAAAAAGACAGCATTACCTAGCATGTTGCTAATTAATATTTAAATACAAAGTACTAAATTGCTGACTTCTTCATTCAGTATCTTTGAAGCATACCATATTTTAAATTAAAATTTGAGTGATCTTTTATTTATGAAGTGTCAGAACTCTAGTTCTGAAATTTGAAAATGCTGTCTGTGCTTGATCTTTTTTTTTTTTTTAAAAACCAAACTACACATCTCTGCTCCCTACTGTTTTTCCCCCAGCTGCTTAAAAAGTGATACACTTGACACTTATATGAACAAAAAATATATTATTTCAAAGTAGATTTTTAAGGACTGAAATTCAACCAGGACAAAAAGTCATTGCCGCGAAAAGACAAGGTTATTGTTTTCTTCCATAAGATTTCAATGAACACTTTGGAAAAAAAAAAAAAGGCAGAATATACTTCAGATTTTTTATATAATTTTGTTTTGAAAATCTTCTACTTTTGAAATAATGAGTGGGCAGTAACACTACAAGTAAGTCTAGGCCCTGCTGCAATTTTGAAAGACAAAATTGCACTCTTTTTTGGTCCTAAAAAAACATCATTACCTCTACAGAAATGAACTGGCAAACATAAAGTAGACTGTTGGTGAGGAGGTTGTCTGCTGGCTCCTCCCCACATGATCATGCTTTTGCATGGAATTATTGGATTAGACCACTTTGAGGTTTGATAACAAGATGCCTCTAGTGGTGTGCGTCCAACCCTTCAGAATGGGTCTAGAATTAACACTTCTCTCAGGGTTTCAGGCTGTGGATGTCAATACCACTTCCCATGCTATATGTATTTTCTGTTTCAAGGCAGCAGAAATGTCACAATTTAGACTGGTAGAAGCCAGTTGCAGGGATGAAGCATGAGGAGAAAAGAAGGAATAGCAGAGAAACCAGATCTGCAGTGCTAGTCTCCCATTGCAGCTCTGAGTAGGTTCTCCATGCAAATACGAACATCTGCATTTCAAGAGCCTGAAGCCTCTGCAAGAAGAATGCATCCAGGTAAAGGTAGTAGCAAGCTCATTGTAACATGCTACCAGTTACTGCCATTTGAATCTCAAGAAAAAATTGAAAATACAGTGCCTGTGTGTTCCATAACCACTTGAGAAAAATAACTGAGCTATAACCAGCCACCTCCACTTCCTGACTGACGCATCATTGTTCAGAGGCATAAAGCAGCAAGACTCTTCTTCAAGTCTCCTTACTTTGTTTTCTCACAAAGCACTTGACCATATGGTACATTTTTGGGACAAGTTTTGGCAGGCAAATACATCTAAACAGGTTTTAATATCTTCCAGGTGTTGGAATATTTGAGAGCAAGAACACCAAGATGATATAATACCATACAAGTAGAGCACATATGAAAACAATAACTATTAAACTGACATTGATCACAAAGCTGAAATACACTGAATGAATGAGTGCTAAACTCCAAAAAGCTTGAAGAGAAACAACTCCCTGGCCTATGACACCAAGCTTGGGCAGAGAAACTACAATCCTTTCTAGAGGTCAGTTAACATGGACTATGATTCATCAACACTGCTAATGAAAGGACTCATCCACCATCCCTAGCTGCTTTAGATGCAATCCTAGTTTGCTGTAGGGATAAGGGTCTGATTAGATGTAGTCAAGAATACAGGACTCAACACAAAATAAATAGGGAAAAAAAAAAAAAAAAAAAAAAAAAAGCCAAGGGGATAAAAGGCTTTATGCCCTATGCATGCAGTAGTCCTAGAAGCTGAAGCTGGAATTTGGGTAGACTATCCAAAATATGCAACTGCATGATTCAGCAATCTGGATGCAAAAATCATGCATGCATATTATAGCGGAGCAAAATGTATTAAATGAATGATACCAGTAAATCAGGTTTTCGGTGGAACAAAGATAAACATGGAACTAAAATCCAAGGTCAATCCAATGATGGCTTAGCAGTGTGGACATAACTGCTATAAACATGGCTAAACTGGAGCTATTTCCTTCTTTCTGCAGTCTTAGGAGTGCAATGCCACTAGACACAGGACTGGTAAGACAGCAGGGAGGGCACACCCAGTAGCATCTGCTAAATCAGTGGAAAAATCTTGAAGCTTCCTCTTCACTCCCCTCTTCTCTTTTGGTGGACTGTGGGTTGTTGGAGCATTGCCCCCTTAGCAAAGTCACATCCAAAATGTAATTACTGAAAATGCGTCTTGCCACACCATTCCCTCCCCATAATATATTAAGAAATGACTCTGCATTCCACCAGGTTGCGTAGCATCACGCCACTGATGTGTTATCAGCAGATGTTTTCTTTGACACGTTGCTCTGCAGTTTGGCGCATGAATCCACAGTTTTCAGTGATGGTACTCAGGAGATGTACCAGAGAAGACAGTAAGGCCGAGTTATTGAGAACCAAAATGCATTTAAAGCTCTATTGAGAATAAAGGCAGCAAGAAGTGTTTTTTCCCAGACTACAGCAGACTTTCCAAAGAGAAAAATATTAGCTGAGCCTGCAATTGCCTCACACAGACAAAGTGTCAAACTCCCACTGTATTCATCCAGAAAAATGTACCTAAAAATTTCACCAAGGAGTTTTCTTAGGAGGCAAAAATCTCAATCAAATGGTCTGATACTAGAAGCAGCAAGGTCACTTCTAATCCAAAATGATTAATTAAAAGGTCAAACACTCCCTCTGAACACCTAAACCTGTAAGTGGGTGTTATGCTTAGTGGCAGGAGATAGCAGTAATTGAGCTATGCAGCAGTGACTGTACAATAGGAGATTCAAGAAGGGACTGGAGAGCATTTCTTCAGAGGGAGGATATTAGCTGTCTCGAGGGAAGAAATTTTGCCAATTTGCTTTATAATCTTTGACAATTTAATTAAAATGCAGCCAGTTCTTTTCAGACACAACTGAAAGTTAGATAGAGTTAAGGAAGTGCAATGCTGAAGAAGCTCTGAATGACAAAGCACCTGCCTCAGTAGCTGTCCCCAAGAGACAATGGTAGCAATAAAGATAGAACAGTTTATGATGGAACTAGTTAGCTGAGATGAGGATGCCTTTTACCTCAAACTGTAATGAAAAGAAATCCAGAGAAATAAGCAACTAAAGCAACAATGGTTGAGAAAGCAACAATAGAGAGACACAGATGAAGTACTAGCTGGACTGCTGAACCACACCTACATGACAAGGCTGCTACCAATTCCTCGTTCCGGGATCTCTTCTTCACTCTTAACAATGGCAGTTCCATAAATCTTTGTTTTCACCAGCCCAGAACAAAAAAATACATATTATAAAATCAGCTATCCACTGAGTTTAAGTAACTGTAAGGTCTGGCAATAATTTTCTTCATGCTTTATTCCACTAATACCGTTAATTTGTTTTTTGTTGTTGTTGTTGTTTTTTTCTCCTCTCTGCATATACACTGAAATCTATTGTATCAAAAACCACAACGAAAACTTATAAAACTGTCATTTCATTTGCAATACCACGCTGCATCGCCGTCTTAAGAAAAGAACAAATAAACGCCGAGTCAGAGGAGCCCGCAGTCGGACAATAACGAGGCTGAGCCCTCGGGTAACAGCCTTGTTACTCATAAAGGTTTTCTTTATTGGAATATATACGCGTATATAGAATTTAGGTCCTGAAAAATTGTCCAGACGACAGAAAAGTCCCAGCACCCAAAGTTAGACACAAAGGCGCGGCTGTGCTCCCGCCCGCGCAGCCTCTGCTGCCGAGAGGGAAAACGCCCCGAACCCGCCGGCTTAGCACGGCGGTGGGGGACGGAGAAGTGCGGACGACAGCCGCCTCGCAGCCCCAGCCCAGCCCATCCACCCCATCCCCAGCCGCCCTTTGTCCGCCCCGAGCAGCCACCGGGACCGCAGTGCGGACCGTGCCACGCCCACCCCGGTGTCTCCGGGCAGACGGGCTCGGCGGCGGGCGCTGCGCTCCCGACCGGCCCCTCCGCCCAGCCACGGCGGGGAGGGGGCTCGCTGCGGCTTTCCGCAGCCCCGCTCCGCAGCGCCCGCACCCCGCGGCGGAGCACGGGTGGGTGGGCGATTGCGGCGGGACCCCCGGGGAATAAAGAGCCGAAGACGGCGGCTAGGCGGAATGCATGTCGGGGGCTATCCCGGCTCCCGGCAGCGCCCAGGGAGGGGCAGGGCGCCGGCGGGGGTGTCGCGGCGCTGCTCGCGGCACCCCGGCTCCCGCCGCCTCACCTCGCTCGATATTGGTGATGGCCCGCCGCAGGTGCTCCTCGGTCACCAGCTCGCCGATGACCACCAGCAGGTAAAACTTGCTGTCTAGGAAGCGGTGGGAGAGACTGGGCGAGGTGGAGGTCGGGTTTGGGATGCTGCAGGAGGGCTCCGAGTCCACTTCCACCACTACGGTGGCCATCGCCTCCGCCCCGCGGCTCCGGGGCGCTGAGCTCGGCGGCGGCTCCGCGGGCGGCAAGGAGGGAGTGAGGGCGGGTGGGGAGGCGGCGGCGCTTTTATATGGAGACGGTGCAGGGCAGGGACCTGGTGAGGAGGAGGAGGAGGAAGGGGGGGAGCCGGCGCATCCTCCGCGCCGCCGCCGCCTTTCCAGCATCCACAGCTGATGTCATCTGCGGCAAATCCTCCCCGCGGCGGCCCCCGGAAGCAGGAAGGACGCGGGGGGCGAACAACGCCCCGAGGGGACGCCAAGGGCTGCGCCCCGCGCCTGGCTCCCGGCCGGCCGTGCGACCCCCGGGCCCACTCCCCTCTTGTCCCTTGTTCCCCGTGCCCGTTCGGGGCGTCACCCCGAGGCCCGTCCCTTAAAACAGGGCGATGAGGAGCCGCAGGTGATGGCCTGGCAGACCTGCGGGGCTCATGTGGCAAAGCCAGCATCGCGCCTCCTGCAGCGGTCCAGAACCGGATGAAAAAGCAGTGCCACTGCCCAAAGCCAGTTGTCCTCTCCTACGTCTTGCTGTACTACTGCCGCAAAATTTGAGTCATACTGAAACACGCCCTCACCCAGCAATCTAAATATTCTTGCTAACTTTTAAAATTTAAAAGCAGTTAATTTGATAAGATACTTCACACATAGTCCTTCTGCACATATTCAATGCCCACGGATATATGACTCCAGAAAAACACTAGTTTTGGACAACATGCTGAAACCCATAGTCTTAGCTTATTCAAAGCTGCAGAAATTCAAGGGCTTTAATAAGTAATGTTGACCAGGCTCAAGCATCTCCAGGGGGCAATGATAGCAGAAAACTTATACAATGACAGAACCAAAGGTTTCATTTCTCTTCTCATAGATATTAGTATCTACATCCCAATACTCAGTGATAACCACTTCTGAAAAGTATGTTACTCTCTCCTAACAAGGGATGGAGAAGTCAAATCTGTCTGGGATGTTCCTCTCACTTTACTGACATAGCCAAGCCACTCATTTGCACTTAAGCCTCTTATTTATACGGCTCAAGTGATGTGGGATAAATTTCAATGTGACATAGGAAAGGATATAAACTTTTATAGCTTGTTTTTTAAGATAACCTCTTGTCCCTGACTGAGAAGACACCTCCTCTGTCTGCAGCTTCTTACAGTGCTGGGTGTGCAAATTCTCTGCCTACTGCTTAGGAGCACAGTGCTTGCCTGGATGAACCAGTGTATCAGCCTCATCTTCTCTGTATTTTGTTCCAGGGCACAGTGGACTAATTCACATGCATTTCAGGTTGTCACTACTAAGTTTTTTTCTGTCTTACTAGCCTAGAGGCTACAGTTTCAACCCACAAAGGTTAGAACAGGATCATTGTAAGTGCTGGTCCATAGCGTTGTAGCTGTCTATAGCACCTAATGGTTTTGATATGAATACTTCCTCTGCATAAATACAGCACTCAGAGTCTTGGCTTACACAGTGTGGTGTGTTTGGATGTTGCATCCAAAGTAGACTTTTCCTGAGCTGCCGTTATTCTAAAGGTTGTGGAGTGCAGACAGGCATTTTCACGGCCATGTCAGGCGGCTGAGATGACACAGTGGTAAAGAGCAGCAGTGCTCATTCTTCACTGAAGCTGACACTGCTGATAGAACAAATGCAGTAGTGTAGGTGCAGAAGAACTAGCAGCACTTTAAAGGTTTGCAAGGTATTCAAAGGTGCAGTGTGTTCTTCGTGGGATACCCCTGCTAATCTGGGCCCCACTGTGACTTTGCTGTTTCCTGTCAGTTTCCTGTCATAGGATGGTGTAGATACCTACTTAGAAAATAATGTCCATCCCCTATAGCCTTTTCCTATATGAACCCTTTCCTCATAATTTATTATAATTATAGTTACCTTCAAGACTTGCCACGTGGTACCCACTGGAGAATGCCAGCTTCAGGCTTCTGTCACTGCAATCTGTAGTTTTGGGCATGCATTTATGTCAATCACCAGCAAGAGCAGCTAGTTTCTCAAGCATGGAAGGAGCTCGCCAAGGGGTCTTGTCAACTGGCTGCAGAACAGACAGATGCTGGTTCCTGGACATAAAGGTAAAACAGTTACTTGCCTCACAAGCACATCAGGTTAAATGTGATAGAGAAATGCACACCAGTACTCAAAAGACGCTGTATGCACTTTTAAGCACTTTCTTATTTTAAGGAAAAGTGGAAACATCCATAGCTGGAAAGATGCCAGTGAGTTTGAAAAGAGCCAAAAAGAATGCATTTTACCAGAGAATAAAATGCTTACATACAGGTAGGCGATACAGTTACATATGAAATAGGCTGCTCAGGTAGTCCTCTATTTCATACTGCAGTGTAAAACAACATGCAGTTAGAAAGTGGTATGATAAAAGATGAACTGTTACAGTCAAACTGTCTTCTGATGGGTGATGCATCCCCCATTAAAGCCCTAAGGAGAATAGATTGTCTTTGGAAAAAAATGGTCTCATGGTAAACTCTTCAAAGGATGCAGACCTCTGGCCTTGTCTACTCACAAGTTTGTGCTGCTTCATTGGAGATGGAAGCTAGACAAGAAAGGTGCTTTATCCTCTGGAACATATCTCTGAGGAAACTGCAGCGTCCCAGCTCCATAGCCACTTTTTCACACTGTGTCTTGCCCTGTCAGTATTTCAATCAGGTAAATTAGTTTGTCATCATCTGGAAACTGATTTATATTCTGCAATATGGAGCATCAGGTCCACTGCTGAGTGAAATGTGGAGATATGCTGCACAAAGCTGACTTAGTGTCCTGTGACACTAATCACTGTTTGAGAGTGATACCACCTGCCTATCTGCAGCTAAATTACATAGATATGCCCCTTCAGTAGAAGAAACAGCACCATTCATGGACTATGGGATATATCTTACAAAGAGACAGTGATTGAGATCTGCACCTGTCTGGCTTTTGATCATCTTGGTTTGATTTTGTTGTTTTATTATGTTCAATACCAAATTGGAGTCCCACAGCTGAATGTGATCAAATAGTATTTGCAAAGCTGTATTTTTTAGATGCTGTATTTTTAAAAGACGCAGTTTAAATAAAGTGCTTGAAGTTTAAAACATGCTTCTTGATAGTATGTGCCATTTGTTACGCACTAATATTCAAGTTTCATTCAGGTCCAAATTTCAAATTTTAGATGACGTTTCAGTGATGTATAAACCTTTAGACTGGCCCTTTGTCTCAGGTCAAGTGTCATCCCTACCATAAAAGAAATACATATCCATATGGATTGCTTCAGACCAATTGACATACAGAGTGGGGAACAAGAGGTTGGTGAGCAGCACTGAGGAGGTGGACCTGTGGTTGCATATGAGTCAGGCAGCCAGGAGGGCCAGCCATGTCCTGGGGGCATCAGGCACAGCATGGCCAGATCGACACTGGAGGGGACTGTCCTGCTCTGCTTTGCACTGGGGCAGCCTCACCTCGAGTGCTGGGGGCAGTTCTGGGTGCCACAGTAAAAGTGAGATACAAAAGTATTGGAGAGTGTCCGAAGGAGGGCCATGAGGATGATGAAGAGCCTTGAGGGGAGCTGCTTATGAGGAGCAGCTGAAGTCACTTGGTCTGTTCAGCCTGGAGAAGACTGAGGGGAGATCTCAGTGCAGTTACAGCTTCCTCATGAAGGGAGGAGCAGGGACAGACACTGATGTCTGTGGTGACCAGTGACAAGACCCGAGGGAATCGCATGAAGTTGTGTTAGGGGAGGTTTAGGCTGGGTATTCAAAAAAATTTCTTCACCCAGAGGGTGGCTGGGTACTGGAACAGGCTCCCCAGGGAAATGGTCACAGCGCCAGCCTGACAGAGTTCAAGAAGTGTTCGGACAATGCACTCAGGCACACGGTGTATTCCTGGGGTGACCTGTGAAGGGCCAGGATGCAGACTTCAATGATCCTCATGGATCCCTTCCAACTCAGGATATGCTGTGATTTTTTGAATTTAAGGTCTTTACCGAAACTGAAATGTCTTCATTGAGAGAAATGCCAGTCCGAGGATGGCACAATATGTCATGAAGGTCATTCTTCACATCTGTAGGATTTCTTAAGGAAGGACTAACTTCTAGAGATGGAGATTTTCCAGCCTAGGCCTGAGATAACAGATTCACAGAATGGCTGGTTGGAAGGGGCATCTGAAAGTCATTTTGTCTAATTCTCCTGCTCAGTCAGATGATAGGTTTATGAGAGCTGTGTTCAGTGAGGTTTCAGTATCTCCATGGATGGAGGCCACCACCATTCTGGGCTACTTCTGATGCATGATGAAGTCAGGAATATGCAACCAATACTATAGCAGATAATGCCTATAGTATTGTGGACCTTACCTGATGTCTTCCCAATGCAACCATCATTCTCAATATCCCCAGTCCACCTCAACCCCCATTTTCTGCAATCAGAAGTTCTACCATCCCCATGTGGTCCAGCCTTTACCTCTCAGAATCTCCTCAGTGCATTGTTCCTTTGGGGCAACTCAGCCGAGCATGCAGCAGCAGCACAAGTCCAGAGGGGCAGTCAGCATGTCAGAAGTGTCACCCTGCAGCTGCTGGCCATGAGCCCTACCCTGCCAACACCTGAACATGTGGTTCATGAAGACAACTCCTCCTGCCTTCACCCACTTTTTTGGCAGGGAAGCATCTTCATGTCTAACATGCTCAACCTGGCCCTGCCGGAGGAGCTCCTCCTGCAGCAGTGATATGGCAATAGCCAGGGTCACCAGAGAGACCTGTACCTGCATGAGCAGACAGACTTGGACTCCATGAGAGACTCTTGGGAAATACTTTATGTTTTAGGATGGCAGGCTTTATCTTTAACTATATGGAAAATAAAAATTACTTGAGCAACATTCATTTCAGGTATTTT